GTTATCTGGCGTCTCTGCAGTAGGACATTGGTGGAAACACTTTCTGGTTCCTTACGTTATCTGACGTCTCCGCAGTAGGAGATTGGTGGAAACCCTTTCTGGTTCCTTACGTTATCTGACGTCTCCGCAGTAGGATATTGGTGGAAACCCTTTCTGGTTCCTTACGTTATCTTACTTCTCTGCAGTAGGATATTGGTGGAAACACCTGTGTCTTTGGAACTCTGTCTTGAAACAGACCTTTCTCTCCTGGTTTTTCTCTCTCATCGCTGCCTGCCTTTGTTCATTTCCTCCAAGTCTCCTTTTTCCTGCTCATTCCTTAAATATTAGTGTTCCAGGTATCCATGTGTGGAGCTCGTTCACTGCTCTTTCCTCTTCATAATGTATCTAGTTCACAGCTTCACTACACGGATGCAGACGACTCCGTAGTCCACGCTGCCTCTCCCGAGCTCTGTCCTGGACATCACCCTTTGCTACGGCCCTGCCTTCTGACCACCACTACCACCCTGATCGCTGGCCCTGTGTCTCTGCACAGCACAGCACCAGGCACATGGTCAGTGCCCAATACTGAATAAACGGGAGAGTAGGTGATAAATATTTAAGTTAGCTTAAGAAATGAGTGTCCTGAAAATAGCCTAAAGTCTACCAATCGGGGAAGTTTAAATAAATTATGGATTTGTATTGTGAACAAAATGCAGCCACAAAGAAATATAAAGATTGCCAAGAAATATCTTCTAAGGGAAGAAAGCAAGTCATAAAACATGTATAATGTGATCCCATTTAGAAAAAGAAACAAATGATACAATGTCCCTAAAGCACTGGTCTTTCTTTGCTCTCCTGAGGTTACTAAGGTGACGGAAGTGGGATTGGGAAGGAGTGAGGGGGCACTGAGATAAAGGAAGGGGGACTGTCAGCGTTTAGTGTATTCATATCCTGAATGGCTGAATTTTAACAGTGAACATCTAGTTGCATGATATTTTGTTAACATAAAAATATAATCAAAAATGGTTTCAAAAAACTGTATACCAACTTTTCTCAGATGTGATGAGGCCCAATGTTTGAAACTTACAGCAAGTATCTGAAATTACAGAAGAGCAAATAAAAGAAAATTAATACCTCCTTGAAAGCAGCCATCTGCTTCTGTATTCGGTTCACAAATCGCCACTGTATCACAAGACTAGAAGGAAACAAAACAGTTCATTCTTTTTCACATGAACCAAGAAAAAGGTGTAGTGTATATTAATCCAATTAGAAACAAAAAATAAAGACTAGCTAAGCACAAGGCAAAAACTGAATATGAGAGGGTAATACTGCACTGTTACAGCAAGAGAGGAAGAATGTTCTGAGTCTGGCCATGGGGGAAGAGAAAGGAGGTAAGGAGAGTCTTCCTGAGAAAAAGTACAAAATTTATTTATAAAATACAGTAAAGTACTAAATACAGTAAAATACTTAATAATGAAATACTTACTAAATATATTCCTTTTTGTTCTTATTGGTGACGACTATTTCTGATCCGCCATTTTTTAACTCACGTTGATGTGTCTAAAGTAAAACATGATATCCTGATACGTTATTTTAGTGAAAAAAATAAAATACACATTTTAGAGCTATACCGGTAACCTGGTGTTTTAAATTAAATTCATTCGAATTTAAATGCTAAGAAAAAACATTCGTTTTACTAAAATAAATATGGAATGAGTCAAATGTCAAAGAAAGCACAAATTCTTGCTGAGAGACAACTTTTCTTACTGGAAATGTGAGAAATACAGCACAGAAATGTGCTGCGTATATGCATTATTTAACATCTATACTTAAGTCACAACATTGGTTTTACAATTTGTATCATTTTAATGGATCAGTATTTACAAACCTGTCCAAAAAGTTCTTCATCTATGATAAACCTGAGGTCCAGTTCTGTTGGGTCATTTTCAAGAATCCATCTTAGTGAATTGTAATATTCACTATCCTAGTTGGAAAAAATTGCATATTTAAAATTTGTATATGTAAAGAAGACACGTGAATTTGCTAAATAAGTATACTGAGGGTCTGAATAAATGAATGAAAGATGGAAGGGCCATCTGTACATCTGTTCATATGCACACACGCATATGTCAAAACGAGTTAGATGACTAGTAACCGTCAGAGTAAGGACGCCTAAGTCAACATAGTAGTGCCAGCTTGGAACTTCAGATCTCTCTCCATGTGGAAGTAGTGGAGGGGCAGACTTTACTACCCAATTAAAGAGCTAAACAAAGCAGTTTTCAGGTAAGTCCTAAGTTCCATGGCTATCCAGGAGCACCTAGCACCTTTCTCATATGGCCTATGTGTAACGTAGAAGTAGCTATGGGAGGCCGTTATATACACCTGTCCCAAGTTAAAGAACAATCTCAGATACAGAACCTCAACCAACTCAAATAACTGTGAAGTCTTACGACTTACAAAGAATTATACTGTTTGCACTGATGATGTGTAACCAGAAAGGAATAAAAAATGTGCTTGGCACCAAGGAAAAGGTCTTAGGTCCATGTGTACATCACTGCAGGAGGCTACTCAGCACAGGTAACAACGAGGCTATCTCAGGGATCGATCCTTGGGTTTGTTTTCCTTTCTAGTGACCTAGCCTCAAGTCCTTGCCTTTGGACTGCCACTGAGAAAGCACACAGCATGTATCACTGAAGGTCACGTTCAAATACTGATGCGAGAGAACACACACGAATGTTGTGCAGAACGGTGTGTGTTTAGGGGTAGGGTCGCTATGAGTCACAATCGACCTGACAGCAACAGGTTTACTGGTATCTGCAACTTACTTTGAAACGAATCAAAAAAATACGGTGGACTCATGGATAGAGGGATGGACAGATATGTTTTAAGACCAAAAACAAACAAAAAAAAACCCTACTGCCGTTGAGTTGATTCTGACTCACAGCAACCCTACAGGATAGAGTAGAACTGCCCCATAGGGTTTCCAAGGCTGTAATTCTTTACGGAAGCTGACTGCCACATCCTTCTCTGGTGGAGCAGGCTGGTGGGTTCAAACTGCCGACTTCCAGTTAGCAGCTGAGGGCTATAACCACTGCGTCACCAGGGCTCCTTTGTGGTAAGACAAGTATAGAATAATGATAATTGTGGATTCTGGGTGGTGAGTATACAGGTGTTCACTGTAAAATCAATTCAACCTTATTATCTGTTGGAAAATTTTCATAATACAATGTTGGGGAAAATGTTCATTTGCATTTTGAAATATTGTAATCTATTAATTTCTATATCATTAAAAGCTAACCATTCAAAGTCTTCAGTTTCCTGTTGGCTTATACTCCCTCTACATGGTAAGTGAAAAAGACAGACATACCACTGATTCCATATCATGAAGTGTTATTGGTTTCTGTAGCATCATCTTGTAAAATGGCCGAATCAAAAAACCTTGTAAAAAATTAAATATATTGAAAATGATCAGTAAGTGAAAATCATCAGATAATTACATATTAAAAAGTTTCATGCCTAATACGAACCATCCAGCAGTTTTCCATGATACACAGCCATTCCAGCCACTCGGCCTATGAACTTGAAGTACGAGAGGTGATCTTCATTACACAGCCCAGAGTTCGGATTTATCTGTAGGGTATAATTATCCCTGCAAAGAAAACCGTACTTACATACTCCTCTCTCTGTTTCATATAAACATTTTAATATGACACATAATTAAAAATTATTTCCCTCTCTGTAGCGTTGTTTACCTCTACTGGAACCATGTTCATTGCTGGGTACCATTGAGTCAATTCCGACTCATAACGACCCCACGTGACAGAGCAGAACTGCCCCATGGGGTTTTCCTGGCTGTAATCTTTAGGGGAGCAGATCGCCAAGTCTTTCTCCCGTGGAGCTGCTGAGTGGGTTCAAACCACCAACCAAGTGCATAATCGTTGCACCGTGAGGGCTCCTTAGAACCACACTGGACTGTTGGAATGAACAGTTTTGAAAACAGTCATTCCTGAAACAGCATTAGTTACAGTCTCCCTTTCCTGCCATACCGTGATACAAATTTCCCTCGTACCATGCAACTCTGCTACTTTCCACACGGGGAGATAGTTTTCTGTATACAGTCACTGTAAAGGTACTTACGTAGCTGAATATTCAAACAGCCCATAATAAGGGTTAAACATTTCTTTAGAGATCAGGAAGAACCATTCTCTGGCGACTCCACCGTAATCTAACCCCTTTTCGCCATCAAACTCAATCCACAGCCTCGCCTTGAGGAAGTCCGCCCTCTTGACAGCCATGACCCTTCGGTAAGAGTCCTCGAGAACAGTTGCCCGGCGAAGTTTCATTTCAAATTTGTTTGGAATGTCATTCTGAAACCCAGAGAAGAGACGTGTGTTAAATCAATCCACACGACAATGAATTTATCTGTCATGAAAGTCACAAAATTCACTGAACTGTGCCCACGCCTCTTTTTCTTGAAGTGCAGCCCTCAGGGAGAATGCAATCAAGTATGTTGTCTTAAATGTTTTCTCCATGGTTTGAAAGAATTCATGCATTTTCTCCGATCACTTAATAATACAGATTTCCGATTTTTGTATCTGAAGAAGCTGTTGACGGTGATGACAGGCTCATGTGAAGCATGACAGTCCTTCCCACGCCAACTTCTAGCGAAGGTCATTCTGTGACCTGCAGTCCAGACACTGGCCGCTCCTTGTCAGTCACCTGCAGGTTCAGGGTTGTTCGCTAACTCCGCCTTTACTCCTTGGCGTCCGCCCCGTTCCACTCATTAACAGGGGCCAGCACTTGCAGGGCCAGGCACTGTGCCAAGCATCTGAATGGATTAACCCATGTACTTACCATAGCAACACTATGAGCTAGATATTATTATTGTTCCCATTTTATGGATGAAGAAACTGAGGAAGACAGAAGTTCACTTAGTCTTAGCTCCCGAATCTCTGCTCTTAACTAATGAGATACACTGCCTCTTAACCTCTTACACCTTTGCTTTTGTGACAAATGTAGATAACTGTGGCGTTAGGCAGATCTTACTGTAAATTGTATAAAAATGTGTCAAATATTTTATTCCTGAGTGCTCTGAGTGCAACTTTCAAGTGGAAATAAAGAAGAGAAAACATGCTATCAACATTCTGTCCTTAGAAAAAAAGAGGGTTAGCTTTAAGGGAAAAAAATTCATTTTATTCTCAATGTTCTCAGTAAACAGTGGAAAGCACTACAGAAAGATATAAGCGGTTTCCTTTTCTGCTTGTGAAATAAAAATGGTAAAATCGATTTGGATTTTGGAGAAAACTGATTTTAGACTGGGCAATAGGCCGCACAGCACAGATGTCAATGACCTGCTAAGGGCCAGACCCCATGCTAGGCAGGCACCATAGTGGGGACAGGGATGGAGGATGGAAACATTACAGAAGACGTGGTGGTTCCCCGGGGAGCATATCATCTGGTGTATATGTGAGAAACAAATGTAAATGTCACTAATTTTGAGATTTAAATGAGTAAAGAACCTGCTAATAATCGAGATACAAGCGGGGTTCTGCAGGGGCATGAGAGATCTAGATTTTAGCTGCAAGTCAAGGAGGATTCTGGGTAGATGTCTTTTGACAGCAGGGGGAGGAGGGAAGGACTTAGGAATAGGCTAAGAGAACAGCACGCATGAGCAGTGTGGTATTTCTAGTAGCCAGACAGCATAGGAGGAGGGGAAAACGGGGGGATTACAGTGAAGAAGGGCAAAAGTAGTCTGGGCCCACACTGTAGACAAGTGTGAGCGATGCACTGGAAAGAAGAGAGTTTCTGAGCAGGGAATGGCTGATCAGACTGTCATGTTTTCAGAAGCTGATGGGGCAGAAGTACAGAGAGTGGTTCTACAGAGGAGAGACAGGAGGTACCCTGGTAGTCAGCGATGATAATGGAAGAAAGAGACGGCCGTCGGAGAAACCACAGCGTCTGAACTGAGAAGGGGACAAGGCCATGGATTCCGGAGTTAGCAGACCCTTTGTTCAAACCTGATGCCACCATTTATTAGGTGTATGACTTTGAGCAAATTACTTTTCTTTTCTAAGGCTCAATTTCCTCATCTATAAAATATGGGTATTAAAAATACCCACCCTCATGTAGTTGTTTCAAGATTTAATGAGATAATGCATTTAAAGTGCTTACATGCTACCTGCCACATGGTGAGTTTAATAATTGTTAGCCATCATTATTCATAACTAATGAGATGTTGAGGATGAGGGAACGGAAAGGTTAAAGAAGCTTATGGCTTTCTAACATGGGTTTTTAATCTTTTGTATCTTTCTTGGTGTTTTGCTCTTCTGCTAGCTCTGATGTCTACAGGAGTCCCTGGGTGGTATAAACAGTTAAGGCCCTTGGCTGCTAACCCAAAGGTTGAAGGTTCGAGTCCAGTCAGAGGTGCCTCAGAAGAAAGGCCTGGTGACCTACCTCAGAAAAATCAGCCACTGAAAGCCCTATGGAGCACAGTTCTACTGTGACACACATGGGGTCACCATGAGTTGGAACTGACTCGATGGCAACTGTGTATGTCTAGATACGGACTTCCTTTTCAATCCTGTTTGGGATTGTTTGTTAATCTGAGGATTCATGTCTTGTATCAGTTTTGGAAAATATGCGGCGTTCTCCTGTGCTCTTGATTCTCTTTCTGGAACAACTCCATGTCTCTTAATCTTTCATATTTTTCATCTCTTTATTTTTTTATTGCACTTGGATCATTTTCACACTAATTTTCTCTCTTAATCATCATATATTAGTCGATCTGTATGCTGAGCAAATGAGAAGCTGGTCTATATGAAGAACAGGGCATCAGGATTGGAGGAAGACTCATTAACAACCTGTGATATGCAGATGACAGAACCTTGCTTGCTGAAAGTGAAGAGGACTTGAAGCACTTACTGATGAAGATCAAAGACCACGGCCTTCAGCATGGATTGCTCCTCAACATAAAGAAAACAAAAATCCTCACAAATGGACCAATAAGCAACATCATGATAAACGAAGAAAAGATTGAAGTCGTCAAGGATTTCATTTTATTTGGATCCACAATCAACACCCATGGAAGCAGCAGTCAAGCAATCAAATGATGTACTGCATTGGGCAAATCTGCTGCAAAAGACCTCTTTAAAGTGTTAAAAAGCAAAGATGTCACCGTCAAGACTAAGGTGCACCTGACCCAAGCCATGGTATTTTCAATCGCCTCATAAGCATGTGAAAGCTGGACAATGAATAAGGAAGACTGAAGAAGAACTGATGCCTTTGAATTACTGTGTTGGCGAAGAATATTTACTATACCATGGACTGCCAGAAGAATGAACAAATCTGTCTTGGAAGAAGTACAACCAGAATACTCCTGAGAAGCGAGGATGGTGGGACTTCCTCTCACAAACTTTGGACATGTTATCAGGAGGGACCAGTCCCTGGAAAAGGACATCATGCTTGGTAAAGTAGAGGGTCAGAGAAAAAGAGGAAGACCTTCAATAAGATGGACTGACATGGTGGCTGCAAAAATGGGCTCAAGCATAACAACGATCATGAGGATGGCGCAGGACCAGAAGTGTTTTGTTCTGCTGTATATAGGATCACTATGAGTCAGAACCGACTCGACCACACCTAACAACAACAATCATCATATAAAGATATGTCATGTTGGTTAAGAGCACAGCTAGACCCTTCGTTTGAATTCTACCACTTAATAACCACGGGACTTGATCAAATTACTTAAACTGTGCCTCAGCTTCCTCATCTGTAAAATGGGGTAATAACAGCATCTGCCTTTTAGGGTTGTTGTAGAGATTAAACGAAAAATACGTGTAACTCGCTAAAAAGAATCCCTTGAATGTAGTAACAGCTCAAAAAATATGTTATTGTTTTCATTGTTTTTTGTGACCTATTTATAAAAGGTCTCGTCTCGTATCTCCTGCTGCCTGGAGGACATCAATAATTATATATTATAACATGCTTGCAATTTTATGAACGGCAAATGGAGAAGCTAGTGCTTCTTCTCCGCCAGCATACCCTCATTAATAATGAAAATATTTACCAGAAAAATAAATCAACAAAGATTTAAAATTCCAAAGCCTCGAAGTAGAAGATAAATTTCCAGAGCAATTTTGACACAAAGTTACTGCTTAAGATGACTTTAAAAAGTTGTTGACACTTTAGGATTCGATTAAAACACTAAAAAACTATCTTATGTTTGTTAAAATTTAGGATGAAAAACCCAGCAGCTCTGTGGGAGAAAGACCTGGTGATCGGCTTCCGTAAAGATTACAGCCTAGAAAACTCTATGGGGCAGTTTTACTCTGCCGCGTGGGGTCGTATGAGTTGAAACTGACTCAAAGACACCTAACAATAGCAACAGGGTGAAAAATCTCTGGTAGCCAGCCCACCATCTTGAATCTCTGGAAACGTAGCCTTCCGGTTTAGAACGCAAGCACGTGTGACCCAATATCGCCACCTAGTGGTAATATTCCTAAACTACAGGGAAAGGGAAAAGGTCTGAGCAAATTAGAAAGGCATTAAAAAAATGGTCATCGCCAACGAAATGGAGTAGATGGGCAGATGATTCAGTTTAGTTCCAAGCATATTGAATTTGTGGTGATGGAAAAACATGCAGTGAAAATACATGTTAAGCATAAGGAGACAAATAACAGGAGCACTGTTCCAATCACAGCTGGATTTTTAAATTACACGTGGATGTTATATGTGGGAAACCCTGGTGGCACAGTGGTTAAGTGCTGCGGCTACTAGCCAAAAGGTTGGCAGTTCAAACCCACCAGCTCCTCCTTGGAAACTCTATGGGCCAGTTCTACTCTGTCCTATAGGGTCGCTATGAGTCGGAACTGACTGGACAGCAATGGTTTTTTGGTTTTTGTTTTTTTTTTAAATGTTGTACGTGGAGCTGTAGAAAATGACTATCACTGGAAGACAAGAAAGTAGAAAAGGAACCAGACACTGGCTGGCTGATCATCTCCTGAGCTATTCTCGCCAGTTCTGCAAAGCCCCAGTCCCATCAGCCCCATTAGGAGACACCAGGTTAAAGCGCTTTAAAACCAACATTTCATACTATTTTTCTGTATCTTGAAAAATAAAAACATAAAATAATTGTGGTCTCTAATGACATATAATAGCTACTTGAAAAATTAGCATCCTTTCTCTATAAGAAACTATTCACTCAAAGTTGTTACAAATATAGAACACATTTCCTGTTACTGTTTAAAATGCATCTCTCAGTCCTTTCAGCCTACATAATGATTATTCCCAAGTACTTAGATAAATATCACTAACCTGCTTCTTCAACTTTCTTCGGAAGAACTCATACTTTCGTTTGTAATCCCTGGAGTAGGGCACTGCCTTTAGTTGAAAATTTTGGAAAAATAAAGAAGGTTTAGGTTGCTTTTATTCTGTCCAGAACAATTTTAAAAAGTTCCCCTCTGGACATCTTATGAACATAAGTTAAAGGCATTAAAAGAGAATATCTGGAAAAAAAAGTTTAATCAGAGAAAAACAAACACAAAACTTAAAAATTTTTAATTTTTTCTGTTTAAGATAAAACTATATTCAGGAATTTCTATGGCTGTAATTTTAATCATGCAATATTCTTGAAATGCAACATGCCAGAAACGGGAAATTTCTTCCAAGTAGAGAAATATTAGAGATGAAAATTTCCATTTCTAAAGAGACTTTCAAAGTGATTTCTCCATTAAGGGAACAACTTGAAAAATGTACTTTTTCCCTGAACTCTGAGGAGTTGCCTTTTTTATCCATTATTTGAAGGTATTTCAAGATACTAAAAAGTAAACTAAAAAAAAACTGCATCTTTAATTTTACTTATTTTTCTGATTTAGAAAACAATTAAAACCTGAAAAACTATGGAAAAAGTAGCTATACTTATAATAAAAAGAAAGATAATGATTTCCATAAAATTAATCTTAATCAATAGTAATACAGTCATTATATACATCATAATATTTACATGTGATGTATAAATATTGTTGTGTCTTCTATACTGAGAATTTACAATGATTACAATCAAAACGTTCAGGTTGTGACGCTGGAGATGACGGAGCGCTGCTGACTTCTTCACCCTGACACACTCTAGGCTCGTCTCTGATCACTGAGGACTGTCAACATCCTCGTTCAGACACTGTCAAGTACTGGCCTGAGCTCAGCAGCTCAGCTGTAGCGTCTTCACCATCTGGTCCACTGGTCTCCCTGGGCTGTTGGCACAGGGTGAGGGTAACAGCTTTAGCTGGTACAGTCTTTCCAAATAACTCAGACTTGGACTGGGGTCAGTAGCGAGAAAGTGTCACAAATCTGACCACTCACCCTTGAAAAGACAGGGGAGGGGACAACCCTGTAAGAGCACAGTGAAATGAAGAAACTTACTGGTCCAGTTATTGCTGCATTCTGCAACCGGGGATCTTCCCATTGTGTTCTTTTTATATCTGAAGGGAAAAATAAAACGTTCTTCTTTTTCATGCACAGAATCCAGTATTACAAAAATACAATGTAATTAAAAATCCCATTGCACGTACTGTGATTTATGTAGAAGATCCTTCCATCTGTGTGAGTTCTCTCTTCCCATCCAGGCTACAATGAAGAATGCAGTCCAATTATTTTAAAAGGGCGTTAGATATATGAGTAGAAAAATGGCAACGGTTTTATGGTTAATTTAGTTTGCATATTATCTCAGTAGAAGGCACCAACATTTTAATAATAATATTAACTATGGTTGTTAAAGAACTACTGTATTTCTAACTACGAAATGTTTCAGATAGCCAAGTTAGATTGGAGGCAGTTCTATAAACTTACAGGTAAAGGCCCCAGATCATTAGAAGGATCAAGCGATGTCTTTCCTCTCAGATGAGCTGGAATTTTCAATCTTGGATCTTCCTTTTTTGGTAGAGGAAATAAACAGTACACGCACACACACACACACGCACAGAATAAGTTTTAAAATAATGAAAGTCAATCTACTTGTCACCATGCTTTCTAATATCAATGGATATTTAAAATATTCTCTTTTAGAAGTCCATTTATACTTCATGTGCTTTATCTGTGAAACAATCATCTGTCCTAAAACCCATCACTCTGAGGTACAGATATTAAAAGGAATACGGACCAGTTCTCCGAGCAGGGTCAGTGCTAACTCATCATCTCTTTCACAGGAACCATTCAGAGCACTCTGCTCCTTTCCAGGGATTGTGTCACTTTGCAGGGCTTTTCTCTCAATAAAAATTGGTGGAAGAGTAGGACCTTAGCTGGACCATATGTTATTTCTGAGTCCCTGAACATGCTTATTTGGCACGTATCTGTTGAGGTGTTGATTTATTAATATGTATCAAAGCCAGGACAGTAAGCCCCAAAAGGTTATTAAAGTTACCTCAGACCGTTGAAAGAGAGAAGACAATTCAGTTGATTTGAATTAATTTATATGTATTATTATTTATGTTAATATTATTTAAATTATATTTTAAATTATTTTCATTTAATTTATTGGTATTTTTAATAATTAATTAAAATCGATTCATCTGCTGCTGATTTTGAGTAACTTTTCTGTTACTAGTAAGCTAACCACTAAATCACTTTAAGCCTTAACCTTAAAATAAAAATACTTGTTCTACCTAGCTTCACAGGATTATTTTTGATATGAAATGAGATATGAATTCAAAAATGCTTTGCAAACTAAGAAGCCTCAAATAAAGGTAAGTGGCTACTACTATCTTTCTAAGCATCTGTGGTTAGTGAGATAAAAACTGGAAACAGACTAAATGGATCTTCACAACAATCCAGAACAATATAAAAACAGGCATACACATCTCTCAAATAGAAGTTACATTATTAAGGATTCAGTAGCTCTTGAAATGGATACTAGCCAACACAGACTATCCTAAGGGACACTTACAGACTATCCAGAGCCCCACATAAGGCGTCATCATTGTTGCTGTTAGATACTGAAATGAAGAGTACTGAATTACCCAGGTGGTGCTTTTGGTGTTGTGGTCAATGAAGAAAGGCCTCCCGTTGGGTGCATGCCGGATTTCCCAGCCCTCAGGAAGGAATCGGTGCTCGATTCCAGAAGGCTGGGTCACCTGCTGTGCCGAGTCACTGGGCAGGGCCTGTGGTTGAGGGCTCGCGGAGCTGTGGCCGGATGGCAGCTGACTGGTCTCCACTGCGGCCTGCACAGTGATTAAACAATGTCACGTGTTACAGGGACTCACGTAGAGCTGTGGTTAAAAAGATAACCTGCCAACAGGTTTATACAGATTTATCAGACTGTAACCATCTGAGGCTCACTTGCAAATGGAGTTATGACATAATTAATTTGTCCCCAAAAATTGTATTCCTCTTTGGCTCATTTTTCTAACAAAATGTTTTGTTGAACTTATACTGATAATAATTTATAATTTTTTAGCTAATTCTCAAGATGCTAGTTAATAGTCAAAGTCTGTTGTGGGTGCATCTGAACGAGGAAGCTAAATCAATGCGTCTCTGTACCCTAGCTGCAAGGGAAACTGTAGAGCCTAGGGGAGGAGGCTGTCCCTGCTCATAGAGTGGGGAATTCCCTGTATACAGAAGTGGGTTCACAGGCTGGGCAGACAAAATGAATGACAAATATCCACTATTGGATGTTTGTTACATCCTCATACACTCACATGACAGACTAGTAGACAGCGTTAATAAGAATAAGCTTGATCTATATATAGCAACATGGATAAGGTTTCAAAACAAGGTTGAATGCAAAAAGATGTTGACTAGCAGATACAGCATAATATCTATGCAAATTTTAAATTACACACAGCCATAAACAATAATATGCTTTGTTTAGTTCTTTATGTAAGTATATAAAATAGGCTGAAAGAATACAAAGCAAATTCAAGATGGCAGTCACATGAGCAATGGGACCAAGAGCTTGGCTAAACAGAATTCAGCTCTATCTGTAATACATTATTTTAAGAAATAAAACATCAAGAAACAAATATGATAATTTGTTAATGGTGGTTAATGCTGGGTGTTAAGAATACAGGTATTTACTATTTCATTCGCTGCACTGTTTACTGTCAAAAATTTTTTCAAAACCAGAAATGGTAGGAAGACAAAATAAATCATTTTGTTAAACACTTACAAGGAAACATTACAAAAAGTAGTCACTGTTGCCACAAAGTGTCCTCATCACAAATTTTTCAGTAGGGATTAATCATCAAGATTATCTTTTAGCAAAATAATAAACTTAACCATTCAATGGACTAGGTCATTTGTCTTGTCCTCCTAGTCCATCTGGACTTGTTTTATGTAACAACGAGGGATAATTCACGTATATTAGACAGCCACAGGAAATGGTAGAAACTAAGCACCAGTCAGAGAATAAAGAACTAGAAGAGGGTAGAAGCATCCAGTGTGAACTGCAAAGTGACCTAAGAGTTTCCACAGTAGTGTGAAGGCGTGAATTCTGTAAGAAAACAAGTTAATAGATTGTAGGTACCTGTACAGTGGGTTTCGTCCACGTAGTAGTTCTGGAATTGTGATCTACATAATATGATCTTCCTCTTTCATCTTGTTTTTCTTCCCAACCTGGTGGTAATCCAGATGAAGTAGGCAAAAGCTAAAGTGAAGAATAATAGGAGAATTAAAAATTAATAAGGAAGAAGGCTTTTAAAAAAGGACCACATTCCTGCTTTGCCGTTAGCTCATTTTAAAATGAACCATATTTAAATCACATTTCAAAGTGTCTAGACTGAAGTATACAGCAGTTCACAAAACAAAACAAAACAAAAAACTCCAGTAGAACGATGATGATGAGGGTGGTAACAAAAATGAAACGTGACAACCACCACCGCACGCTACGTGTGTTAACACAGACTGTGTCATCTAACCCAACACAGATCTTCATGAGATAACTGCTATTATTGGCCCATTTTACTGATGAGGAAACTGATGCTTAGAAAGTTGAAGTAATTTGCTAACAAATACATTGCCAGTAAGGAATGGAGCTGAGATGTGAACCCAAGTAGTCTAACAATTAAAATTATCACACGTATGTGCAGAGTCAAAAGTTACCCCCGAAGGAGGGGAAATCACTAACTAGATAGTCAACAGGTGTTAACTTTGGTGAAGGAGAAGCCACCACAACTTGACCAAGCCAAACTCATAGAAGCTTCCTAGACACATCCAAACATGCTGGGGGACTGAGTTACTGGGTCTGAGGGCTGGGGACCATGGTCTTGGGGGACATCTAGGTCAACTGGCATAACATAGTTCATAAAGAAAATGTTCTACATCCTACTTTGGTGAGCAGTGTCTGCGGTCTTAAAAGCTTGCCAGCGGCCATCTAAGACACATCTATTGGTACCAACTCATCCCAGGCAAAGGAAAATGAAAAAAAAACAAAGACACAAGGAAAATACCAGTCCAAAGGACTAATGGACCACATGAACCACAGCCTCCACCAGCCTGAGCCCAGAAGAACTAGATGGTGCCTGGCTACCACCACCGTCGGCTCTGACAGGGATCACAATAGAGGGTCTCGGACAGAGCGGGAGAAAGCTGTAGAACAAAAGTCTAACTTACAAAAAAAGACCAGACTTACTGGTCTGAAAGAGACTGGAAAAATCCCTGAGACTGTGGCCCTGGGACACCCTTTTAACTCAGAACTGAAGCCACTCCTGAAGCCCACCTTTCAGCCAAAGATCAGACAGGCCTATAAACCAAACAATAACACACATGAGGAGCCTGCTGCTTAGTTCAACCAAGTATAAGAGACCAAATGGGCAACGCCTGCCCAAAAGCCAAGACAAGAGGGCAGGAAGGGACAGGAGACCTGGACGAATGGACACAGGGAACCCGGGGTGGAAAGAGGGAGGATGCTGACACATTGCGGAGATTGCAACCAATGTCACAAAACAATCTGTCCACAAATTTTCGAACGGAAAACTAATTTGTGCTGTAAACTTTCACCTAAAGCAAAATAAAAATAAAATAAAGCTACCCCTGCCTTGTTCCTCTAAGGGCTTGGGAGATGCTGTTTATTATATTTTATTACAGATGAACAAACAGATCTGGTTATTCATAGGTTTACTTAAAATAGTCCCAGGTTTGGCCTTCCTTGAGTCATTCTGAACCAGATTAGACTCTTCAAGGCTTGGCTTGGCTCCCAAAAGTGCCTAAGAACATAAAGTCCATCAGCACCAGTCTGCTCACTAAATTTACTGCTTTTTAGATACACAAGAGCTATATGTACTTTGCTGACAGTTACGATGAGCTGTAAGAGTTGAATACAATGAAATTAAAAGGTGCCCAGTTTTACGAACGTCCATTAGCTGGCAAAAAGATAATACAATGTAGTAGGTATATCTATACAATGGAATACCACCAACCACTGAGATATGCAACCACATGGATAAATCTCAAAAACATTATGCTAAGTGAAGAATCACACATAAGAGTGCATGCTGTAGGCTTCCATTTCTATGAAATTTCTCGAAAAGACAAAACTGGAGCAACAGAAGCAGATGAGCGCATGCCTGGGGCTGAAAGCAGGAGCGGAGACTGACCACAAGGGGAATGAAGGGTCTTTCTGGGGTGACAGAAGGATTCCCATACTTGATCGTGGTGATGGTTACATAACAGCATAAATTCACTAAAACTCATTGAATTGTGTACTTAAAAATAAGTGAATTTATAGTAGGAAAATAGTACCTCGACAAAGCTGTTAAAAAAAAAAGTCTGTATTTTTAAAAAAGTCAATATATTGAGAAGCAAAGGCATGGAAATAGTTTTTTTTATTACATAAAATATAAATCATCTCTAGATTTTGGTGCTCATCTGATGCACTTAAAATTGTGTCTTGGGTCAATGCCTGTCAGTCGATCAGAAATTAACACCTGCATTGTATGGGGGCCATTACAAGGTGCAGTGGGAGAAACACTGGATTTCTGCTCACACAGGCTCCAGTCTAAGGATTAGGTCAGACAAGTGGCCACAAGGAGAGTAGAAGGCGGGAGGGCAGTGTTTCTGTGGCATCCACCTGCTTGATGATGGTCAACACTGACTGCACAGGTGGGCAGTCTCTTCCTCCCAAGCCCAGGCTCTGTGTCCTTCTCCTAGTACAGGGCCATCTTCTTGGACAGACGAGCTACTCTTGGGTTGAGGATTTTCGAGTCTCCATACTCCCATACTGGAAGTTCCATAAAGGCAAAAGCATGCCCCACTTTTCAAAATTAATACATAGACTGCCATTCAAAATTATAAATGGTGGAAAAAGTGAAGAGGCCATTCCAAGTGGGGAAACAGAATGTTCATAGATCCAGAAGTGGGAGAATATTAGGACCTGAGAGCAGCCTGTTTGGAAGAAAAGGCACAGACAGGAATAAAGGCAGCAGAAAGTTTCTGTGTGCTGGGAGTCTGCCATTTTTAATTTGGTTTAAAAAACAAGTGGGGGCACGGAAGGGAGCGACAAGCTCAAGATAGAAGAGTTGAGGCAAGAAGAGGCTGGAGGCTGGAGACAAAACAGAGTCTAGGACAACAGTCTAGCATGAAGCACTTACGGTCCAAGCTCCAGTCAAAGCTGCGGCTGAGGGCACTACTGAAGAGGAAGAAGACTTGCTGACGTGAGACCGCAGGGAACAGACTGGGGACTGACACGCTCTGACCTGACCACTGAGCATGCTGACATCAGGGCACACCCGACCAGGTGGCTGGGTCCTGATCTGGACACTTCATGTGCAGAGCAGAAGGGATGCTAGACGCCATGAGCCACAACCAAAGCTGGACGCCATGCGCCACGAGCAAAGCCGGACACCATGAGCCACGAGCCACAAGCAAAGCTGGACGCCATGCGCCACGAGCAAAGCCGGACGCCATGAGCCATGAGCCAAGCCGGACGCCATGAGCCATGAGCAAAGCTGGACGCCATGCGTCATGAGCAAAGCCAGATGCCATGAGCCATAAGCAAAGCCAGACGCCATGCGTCATGAGCAAAGCCAGATGCCATGAGCCATGAGCCATGAGCCATGAGCCATGAGCCAAGCCGGACGCCATGAGCCATGAGCCAA